TTTAACGGAGACTTTGCCTTCGCTATCGCTCACTGCCAAATCCGACTCGAGTCATGAGTACGGACCACTTGAGCAAACGGACTGCGACCCCGTCAGCCAGAATCCTCGAGCGAGTTCGTGAGGATGCGACTGACTTGGCATTGTTAGTCACAGTCACCTCACACGACTGGAAGCTGCTGAGTGACAAGAACGGCACGCAACTATATGAGATGACGGGCGAATCCCTTTCAAACAAAGTTAGCACTGTCGGTACCTTTGGCAAGGGTGGGGGTGGCCATCCGTCCGAGTTCTATCTCGTTCGAGCCGCGACCACGATCCGGGCCGACGTCAACACCATGCTAGACGTACTACGAACCAGCACGTCCGAGGATTTCCGAGATGTCATGAAGAAAATCTTTGACAAACAGTTCGAAAGTGGTGCTATCGTGGACTCTCTAAGCTGTACGACGCCACCCCCGTACACACCGAGTCTGGACAGTAACGGGATGCAAAAAGGATGGCAAATATTTAGTGAGGACGATGGATACAGCACGAATTGGGTCACTCTGAGAGCCTTCAACAAGCTAGGAGGTCTAGACGGCCACCGAGACTTCACTATGGTCTGCTATCAGGACGTGTTTGAGCGTGCATATATTAGCGATAAACTAACTCGAGTTGGACGCAGCTTAGCGCGAGATCCTCAGAGACCTCAACCGGTGACAGGGTCTAGACTTATTGGCGTACACACCTTTTCCAGTATGAATTTCAGGGACATTCCGGAGTTGCCCAAGTCTTCCAAGACCGACCGTCTTCATTTCCGGAATTCGGGTGTAATTGTCGAGGAATTAACGGAAGAAGACTCGAATGGACCTGTGGTTCGCGTGAGTTTGCTGCTCTCGTTGATGCCGACGAAACTTGTACTGAAAGAGGTCTCCCAGAGCCCTCGCATGCGTGTGGCGCTAGCTGCGGGGCATGAAGTGGCCAAGAAATACCGCAAATGGATACAGACACTGGCACTGGGCGTGAGTCACTTCGCAGAGACAGCAAAACCTGTTGTTACCATGCAACATCTTAGCAAGATGACGTGGATTGAAAGCGATCACTGCTTCTTGTGCCTCAAGATGTTCCGCACATACCGAAGGCGACACCATTGCCGCTTCTGCGGTGAAGCAGTGTGCGGTTCGTGCTCGAGTTTTGTCAACTTGGCCTCGTTCGACATCGACTATGATGATAGCGCTGACAGTGTTATTGTGGGTCATCGCAAATTGGATCTACGCATGGCCAGTGGTGGTAGTGGAAGAAATCTACGCGAGAATGCATCTCCTAACGACTCTAAAGCGGATACGGAGGAGGTAACGGAGACTCGTGGTTGTAACACGTGTGTGTCCGAGCTGCAGATGAACCTGACGGTGTTAAACCATACTCGTAGCAAGCAGGATCCAAGTAGCACTCTCTCACAACTTGTAAATGCTCGCCTGAAAGACCAGCATACAAACAACCAAAGCTACAAAGGTATTCACGACCCACCGCCACCGTATCCAGGACAAAGCAGCCATAGCGAACGGGATCAGGTGATGCCTATGCGTGCTGGAGGCTACCTCCAGTTCCAGCAACAGAAGATCAGCTTCTCCACCATCAGCAGCAGTTCGTACGCAGGTTTGTCACCTGACGAATGTGGAAAACTCGGTATCTACTCATCTACCGGTTTGACTGAGTCCATGGGCAAAGCGCCAGCCACTTCGACTGCTATATCCTTTAACCCCACGCCACGCAGCTACTCGGCGGACTCTTCACTTAGCGCTTTTCTAGCTCGCGACCCGGACATTCTGTCTCTCAATGGATTGACACTATCCCCTGGAAGTTCAGTGGCGTCCAGCATGATTCCCGTTATGGGCGACGAGGATCACTTAAACTTCATCTCCAAGCACAACCGAGAGAGTTACGCCACTACTGCCGCTACCAACGAAGGCAGTAACCACAGTCAGTTCAACTACTCGAACATGACTCAACAGGAGGTGCAAACCACCGAACGACTCATTCGCGAGGCCAATGCACGAGAAAACCAGCGTATGAACGGCCGACCGCCGCTGAATGGGCGGCCACAGTATCAGCAAGACTGCGAGCAAAGCCCTGTGGGGTTCAAAAACAAGGTCTATCATATGCCTCGTACAGCACAAGGTTTGTCCCCATCGCACTCACTGAAGTCGTCGTACTCATCGGGCAGCGCACATAGTGACTTGATTCAATTGAACTCTGTCACGAATGACTCAGCAGAGTCGACCAAAGTGGATTTCGTCGTGTTCGACAACAATCAGCAGGCAGAGGTTGCCAAGAACGCAGAGAACTCCAACGACATGATTCCGCTACGGTTTTGAAACAGAGCTAGAGCTTTAGGTGTTTGTTAGTGCGTGATAAATGACGGATAAAGAACGAATGTTCGAGTTGTTCGAGTTGCAAGTACAAAAAGATAGCAGGACTATTCAAAAATATAGAGAATCGAAATTTCACGATACACTAGCAATGTGCATGTAGCTACCTCCAGCTAGTTTCCAATATCGTCGTCATCCTGGTTGTTGCTCAGCTCCTTGGAGTCATTCGACACTTCAGCTGGTCGAACCTCGTCCCCCTGTTGTCGTGTTGCTGAGGTGTCCGATCCATCGCTTTTATTCGCTGTTGTCTCCTCCTCCTGACCTGCTTCCTGTTGCTGTGCACGGATCATATCCTGCTTCCTGGCTTGTTCCAGACATTCCTGTTGTTCTTGTTTTTCTTGCAAACGGCGTTGCTTTTTCACTCTCAAGTCTCGTAGAAATCTCTCAAAAGCTTCCACATCGGCAAAACTTTGACCTGCGAAAACCGAATTCGGGTGGGAGAACTCCTCACCTCCGACGAAGAAAGTGTAACCTGGTTGCTTAGCTTCTGTATCTTGCTTCTGTTCTTGAACATCTTCGAATTCCTCTTCACTTGTTGAGTCCGAGAAGTAGTCGTCACTCTCGATATCGGCAGTTTGAATCGCGAGGCCCTCAGTACTCAACGCTATCGTTCGATGGAGCATGTGCCTGTCACAAGTAATGAACAGAATGTGGCAGACGCTGTCAGCAGGCAAGTGGGTCACATCCACTGGGAAACAGCCTTCCACCACGGAGCTTGTGTTAGGATCATCCAAGGGTCGAGGAAAGGGTACATCCTTGGTCTCTGCTGGATCTTGTTGGTTATTCTGAATCTGAGGCTGTTGAGGTTGAAGGGGAGCTTCTAGATCCAAGAAGTGCGAGTTCTCATCGCGTAGTCTCGTGATCTGAGGGTCATAGTTCGGTTCTTCGCTTCGAGCGTCACCAAGTTCTCGCCAGATGAGCTGGAAGTAGCCATTTAAGAATGGTTCACTACGTGGCAAGCGGTAATTTACTTGTAATAATTCCTCACGTTCGTGGACGCGCCCCATGTTGCGAGCTTGGTCGATCGAGAGACGCTCGCGTCTCGGCTCGAGTGAAACGTAAAATTCACCGAGTTTTGGATTTTCTTCTTGGTTGTTTGTGCTCGTAGAGTCAGCTTTTGACTCGCTCACAAGCCTGCGCACTTGCTCGTCCTGTAGCTTCGTCTTGAGTTCTCGTAGACGCTGGAGCGCGAGACATCGACGAGCACGCGCCGTCTCGGGCTTCTTCGTGTCAGGTTCCCCTCGGAGATTATCTGCTATCTCCTCCGCGCTCATGAGCAGCTCTGGCGGCACCAAGTCGATGGGGAAGAGGCCAAATGCGTCACGAATCTGGATCTCGAACTGCGCCGGATAATGCTGCAGTACGAACGTCACAAAGGCCAGATTCCCCGTAGCACACGCTCGATGACAAGCTGTCCACCCTGCCGAGTTTCTAGCGCCGTTGACTTCACTCAAATCTTGACTGGAAGCTGTGGAGCTCCAAGCTTCCGGTCGAGCATGCAGCAACAGCTCCAAGGCGATCTGCAGCTGTTGGAGATGCTGACCTGACTCGAGTTCCAAGGCTACTACAGTATGCACAGCCTCTTCCAGCTCCAATTCCCACATCGTGGAAGCAGAATCCGAAATATCTGCCTCGTGAGTGTGGAGAATCCTTTTGAGCTGCTGAATGTCTCCATCCAGCACGGAATCTACTAAGCCTGTCGACGTTGCAGCGCCCATGATGTCTACAGTGTCTTGGATAGTGTAGCGATTTTACGAAACGACGCGGATCTTTTATCAAGTGCTAGATATGGCTACACTGGAGCAGATGGCTACTTTGGCAGGTGATCTGGTATATTTTACTTACGTCGCCGCGGCTTCTTCCTGCTTACTGCTGCGTTGAGCGATGGCTCTGCGTCTTCGTTGTTTCTTTGTGAGTCCATCATGGGGCTGGCGCATTGCGTACTGGTAGAGTAGCAGCAGTGTCGCCGATCGGATCCCAGCGATGCGGCTGGCCGCGTGGATTGTAGCGGGTTGTGCTTGTTGCAGCTTCTCGCGCTCCTCGTTCGAGATCATGGGTAACTCGGAGTAGTCCACCCACTCGGGGATCTGTACGTGCTGCTTGTTACGGAAAACGCGGATCTCGTGGTGTTGCGCACGCAGCTGCGTCGCATACAGGCACTCGGTCTTCATGAACTCCTTGATCTCATCAGGCAAAGCGTCCGCATGTTCGTAGCGAACTTCGCGCCAGATACGCTCGATGTCCTGCGGCATCACAGTCGAGAAGGCGAGGATTTGTGCGGCGCTGCGCTTCACGCCGTCAAGCCCGACCTTAACGCCGTAGCGATTCCACTCGTGCGGGTCGCGTGCAAACTCGTCCAGAGCTTTACGCGCATACTCCATGGCCTTCTCCTTACGTTCGAGTTTCTCCATGCGTTCGCTTGGAATGCCAGCGCCGTGTTCAAAGGCCTTGCGTGTCAATCGCAGGTCGGCATTATCTGCGCGAAGCAGCAGCCGGAATTCCGATCGAGAAGTGAACATTCGGTACGGCTCTGTGGTGCCTAGAGAGATGAGATCATCGATCAGTACACCGGTGAAGGCGTCGGCGCGGTCGAGGATCAGTGGTTCCCTTCCCATAGCACTCAATCCAGCGTTCATACCAGCCACGATACCCTGTGCTGCTGCTTCTTCATACCCCGTAGTGCCATTGATCTGACCAGCCAAGTACAGTCCAGACAGCTTCTTCGTTTCGAGTGTAGGATGCAGCGATCTTGGGTCCACGTAGTCATACTCAACAGAGTATCCTGCACGCACAATCTCCACTTTTTCCAGTCCCTTGATAGTACGCAACAACTCGAGCTGTAGATTTTCAGGCAGTGCAGTACTGATGCCGTTCGGGTACACCAGGTGCGTATTCAAACCCTCAGGCTCAAGCCACAGCTGATGTCTCGAACGATCAGCGAATCGAACGACCTTAGCATCGATCGAAGGGCAGTAACGTGGACCCACGCCCTCGCCATCCCGTCCACCGTCATATTGTGGCAACATGTGCAAATTCTCGCGTACAATGCGATGGCTTTCCTCGTTGGTGTAGGTAGCGTGGCAAACCACCTGCTTGTCCGCCAGCGGCACCTGCTTATGCTCGTTTAGGAACGAAAACGGCTTTGGCGGGTTGTCACTTGGCTGAATTTCGAGACCTGAATAGTCAATCGTGCGTGCGTCAAGACGCGGTGGAGTGCCGGTTTTCAGTCGACCAAGTGGGAATTTGCAGCGCTCCAATGTCTGCGCCAGTCCAACTGCCGGGGGCTCGAGTCCGTCAGTATCGCGCATGTGTCGTCCAGCCGGGATGCGAATATCGGGGCCCTGGTAAATCATACCGCGGATGAATGTTCCCGTCGTAATAACCACCTGAGATGCCTCGATCTCCCGACCGGAAGAAGTCACCACGCCCTTCACACGCTCCTCCACGTCTCCCTCGCTTTGACTCAATTTCTCCAGCATGAGATCATCCACTCCATCTTCTACCAGCCAGAGGTTCGGTAACTCCTGAAGTGCCTTCTGCATGCCTTGCTGGTACAAATCTCGATCCATCTGAGCTCGCGGGCCTCTCACCGCTGGTCCCTTGGCCGAATTAAGCATACGGAACTGGATACCGGCAGAGTCGGCCACTTGACCCATGAGGCCACCCATTGCGTCCACTTCACGCACTAAAGTGCCTTTGCCCACACCACCAATGGACGGCTGCCATAACGAAATTTTGCATGTAGGTCAGTGAGTTGGAAGCAAGCAGATTAATTTAACCAATTGCCACGTACATTGCACGACATTTCGCCAATTGTTGCCAACTTTTGTGTGACCAATGCGGTTTTAGCACCTGGATTGCATTGAATAGAATACGGTTAGAAATTGTTAGCACGTCATTGCCCTGAATGTTAAAGTGGCATACCCGTTCTAGAGGCGGCAGCAGCTGCCTCGCAGCCGGCGTGGCCACCGCCTACCACGACTACATCGAAATGGGAAGGCGCGACGGCGCTGCTCAGCGCTCGTAGGGCAGCGCGACGCACGTGGGGTGCAACGTGAGGCCGACGACGCGCGAGCATGACGAGTGGCTGGAAAATGGTCGGAATGACACAAAAA